AGAAACTATAATTATAATTAGATAATATAATTTAGCTTACATATGCTTACTAAAAACATAAAAAAAAACAAAATTGAAGAACATCACGAACGAACGAAAAGTCCAATAAAAAATTTAAATACAGTGGTAAGGTTTGGGTGGCCACGAGCGTAAGTCCTTGGTTCACCGATTGATACCAGTTGCAGTGTCGACAGAAATGACGAAGTACCAAAGAGATCAGTCGCCGCTGTAATTAACCAAAGTCAAGGTATGTGGATTTACCGACGAAGATTCTCCTGGTCCAACACCTTTCATACCCCTCTTAAAAATGTTTCTTCTGATGCACGACTCATCACATCAACTGCGAGCACAGAAAGTTTTGCCATCATGGCTTAGTTCAGCGAAAGAAACCAGGAAACGTTAAGAAAGAAGTAAAACAAACATTAAAAAACAAACTGAAAAAAAAAATCATTTGAGATAAAAGCGAAATAAAACCTCCTTGTAATAACTGCCAGGATGAATATTCAAAACAGTTTAACGAGGATAACAGAAAAGAAATATTTTTCTCATATTAGGCTCTTGATGGTATTAACAAAAAAAAAGCAATTTCTTATTAATTGTAAGCAAATCGTGGAGTCTAGATACTGGAACCTGATCGAAGAGGAAAACACTTTAAACACAAAAAGTAGATGAGAACATGACATTACGCGAGAAGTAAAATTTATAGTGTCCCATAAAGACTTTTTCGACTTGAAAATATTAATGAATGACATATGCAGGTCCTCTCAATATGGGACAAATTGAACTGTCTGAATTGAAAATAAAAAGTTCAATGGGAGTCACGTAAATCTGTTTTTTTAAATTTTACCTTGAGGAATAATTCAGAAAAACAAATAAGCAAAATAACCAATAACTGACTTAACCAAAGCTTATTATTCTAAAATTGGGAATCCTAATAATGAAAGCGAAGATCTTAAGGGGTTCTAYATAGATAGAAGGCCGGAAAAAGTGAATTTGTTATGAGTTGTTGTGAGAAAACTTTTTAATTTATTGATCCAAAAATTTGTACATTGTTTAACTGTATTTTAAGACTTAGTAAAAATATTTATTTTCAACGGAACTACAGCTGATCTCCGGGAGCTCCACTATATCTCTGATTTCGTTAAAGTAATGACAATTCTGGTAATTAATTGGTGGAATAAGTAAGATAAATCTTTTTGACAAAATAGCGGTTTTTCAAAAAATAATCGACTTTTGACCAAAATTGGTTAATAAAAAATATTTATCGGTGTGAAAAGCTCCTCCATTAATTACTAAAAAATATACTTATAAATACATGTATTTCAGAAGCCCGTTTCGAGTAATGCTTGTCACTGACTTTGAAAATACCACTTTGCGTTGCGTAAAACACGCTTAAAGCTTGTACTTGTACTTCCAAGCACTCTGAAAGGCTTTTTCCAATTTGAATGTAACTTCGAGAGTATTTACCGCAACGATATGAAATTCTGTGTGTATTTGTATGTTCATTAAGAAAATAAACGGCGTTTTGAAAAACTACGCTACTCCTGTAGCATTTCATTTTTCTCTTGCTACCGCTCTCACTTTGTCGGGAAGTGACCATACACGATACAAATGTGCGTTCGATCGATATGTGTGCGATTGCGGTTTACTCATGTATGGGCTTATTCTCATACCGATTCATGTTCGCGAAAATATTTAATTTTTTACGATAGGTGTGCACGACTAATTCTGATTTTCTACTCTGCTCTATTTTTAAATCACTGTGATTTTATATTGCTATTGCGATCGCAATTAAGTCGACGTTCAAATGGAGTTCTTCGGTTGTTATTGTTGTAGTGGCAGATTCTTCCGATTTGACAGTGTTTGACCGAATAAAAGTCCGGGTCCGTTCCAGTTACGTAGACTCGACTGTCGTGGGAACGACGGAAACYTTTTGTCGTTATTGGCGGCAAAATCTCTTTTGGGTTCTGTAATTCGAGTTAAGTTTTCAGCCTTTCGGTTCTTCTACCTGACACTTGTAGCGTATTGCATAGTTCATTTGTATGTTGGTATGATGGTTTCACAGATTTTTTACAAGGAATTACCATTAATGTGTTTGATCATTCGATTGTTTAAAATACCCCTTTTTAATATTTTCAAAGAAAACCTAATGACTAATGACCACTGTAGGATGTCTATTCTGTACATGTTTTTTTGTTAAAGATGTTAGAAATTTTTTATTTTCAAATATTGCATTTTGCATATATTTCATCTACCACTTCAAACATCTGCCATATTTCACTTTTTTTCCTCGATACATTTCCTGCCATTGACGAAAAGTAGCATATACGAATATATATGTATATACAATACCCTGAAGAAAGCTGCTCCTYTCTCCAATTTGCTATTGTGATCCCATGTACTGTATTATTAAAAAAAACACAGTTTCACAAGCTTATTCTGACCTGCTATCGCAATCGCAATTCACAGGTTCGAGCTGCTATCACAAATCACAGTTTCGAACTGCTATTCATAAAATGTAATCGCAGTTGCGATATGCGATTTTTCAATCACAGTGAAAAAATCACCATTATTGAAATATCGCTCATCTCTACTCTGCTCCGAGTTTTGTTAGGTAAAAAGCTATTGCTATGCTCTGGCGTAGCGGTAGCAAAAAATTGGGAGCAGTAGCAGAGCAGAGCTAATGAAAGCTTTCATGTGCTACAGCTCCCGCATGTGTTTGTTGTTTTTTTCGTTTTTTCTATTTTCTGTCATCTACAAATATATAGTATATAAAAGAAAGTCGTATTGGTTACACCATTTATAACTCAAGACCGCCTGAACCGATTTGGCTTAAAATTGGTGGGGAGATAGCTTAGAAGCAAGATAAGGACATACATAGGATACTTTTTATCTCTTTATGTTAAACTTCATTTATCATAAGAATTTGTTCAAAATCTATGTAAGAATCATTGAAAATTTTTGGTTATTCAAAAATAGAAACAAATAAGTAAAAATTTTCATATCCATGCATGCTTAGTATATTGGTTATACAGATTTTGCTTCTGAACCAGACAGTTTTCTTTTAGGACGAAAAAATTAATTGGGTTGCGTGAATTACTGAGCCGTTACGTGCCTGTGCCTAAGCGAATTTAAAAGATGCCAGTTAAGAAAACGTCCGTTCGCCTAAAACTTAACCTAACATCTTAAAATAGTGGGTATACAAAAAAGCGTAAAGTATATGTAGTTAAAATTAATCTCGAAAATTCATAGTAATTGAGTATTGTAATACATTTGTAATGTATGATGTTTTTGGCAATATAAAAATACAATTTAAAATATATTTTACAATTTATTAAATTATTATCAATTCACTTTATTAATATAATATATTTCTTAAAATATTTGATTTTAGATTTATAGTCACTTGACGCAGTGCCAAAATGATTTGCATAACATTTTTTGCTCAATTAATTCAACTATTATGACAAAAAACAGCAAAAAAAAAAGAAATAGAAAAAACAACAAACACATGCTGTAGCACATGAAATTTTCTCGCTACAGCTATACCCAGTGGGATAATGGTTCACCGCTTACATTTTTCTTTGAATAGTGCTCCGAAGAAAATTCTATGTAGAATTCTTCGATACTAGGTGAAGCATATAAGTCAAGTAAGTACATGAAAAACATTACAACAATAAATACAAGTTGATGAAATACAATTTATGAGTAAATATTTTCATTACTTCGTCAAATCGTGAAGTATTTGAGGAAAAGATTAACGAAAAATGTTGTTTAATTTTGTGTTTAAACATTAAATAAAGAAATAATATTAACTCTTGAAAAGGCATATGAGAAACTCGAAGCAGAGTAGAGCACATTGTTATGCAAAGGCTCTGCTGTGGCTCCCGACAAAGTGAGAGCGGCAGCGATAGCATAGCAATAATTCTAGAAATTTTGCTGCTACGGAGTAGTAAATGAAAACCCTGATATAAACACTTAACGGTTCTGTCAAGATTTCATACTAATTTGTAATCATATAACTTGGTTTAATTCTTTTTCCAATTAATTCTGTAGAATTATAGTTTTAGTTAGTTTGATAATGAAAAGTCCTATCACAAAATGTTTTACTTTTTTTCTTGGCAAAAACGACACATTTAACTTAAAACGCTTTAGTCCATTGTATTTAGTTTACGTACGCTCAACATTTTATCTTATATAGTACATCTTCTTCTCTTCTTAATTGGCGTAGACAACACTTACGCGATTATAGCCGTGTTAACAACAGCGCGCCAGTCGTTTCTTCTTTTCGTACGTGGCACCAATTGGATATTCTAAGCGTAGCCAGGTCCTTCTCCACGTGGTCCTTCCCACGGAGTGAGGGTCTTCCTCTTCCTCTTCTTCCCCCGGCGGGTACAGCGTCGAATACCTTCAGATCTGGAGTATTTTCGTCCATTCGGACAACATGTTAATGTCGTCACATATCACGTATAGCTCAACGTTCCATCGAATGAGATACTCGCCGTCGCGAACGCGCAAAGGACCATAAATCTTTCGCAGAACTTTTCTCTCGAAAACTCGCAACGTCCACTCATCAGCTGTTGTCATCGTCCAAGCCTCTGCACCATATAGCAGGACGGGAATTTTGAGTGACTTATAGAGTTTGGTTTTTTTATATAGTACATGCCAGTAACTTTTTCCATAAATTTATGGTGTTGTCCCATATTTGCTAAATAGGGACATTTCAAAACTCAGTTTTTTGTTTAAATATTAATAATTATTATTCAATAAACGTAAGGGGATTTTCTGCTTTTGCTAAATATGAGACAATTGAAAACTTTAAACCGCTCTTCATAAAAATCAATCTTTTGAGTTATGACACTATTCATGTACATAAGTGATATGTAAGTATATGTTCTTTAATAATGAAGTACAAGTAGTACCAGGCCCCAACTCCACTCACAACCGAAGCCAAAAATTCGTCAGCCTGCCTACCGAATTCAACCCTCGGGGCAGTCAGCCCCGATGTAACCGATTGAGTGAAACCATCAGTTTCAGGTACTGGTACGGGGAAGTCAGTCATCAATTCACCTAAGCTGTTACTTACATTGGCGTACTTGGAGCGAAGGCTACGGAACACAGGTTCTGCTTAAAGAGATGTTTACCGATGGTCTAAGCATCTCAGAAGAGGATTCTATAGGAGACCCAGACTCATGATCATTCCCTGATCTTTTCGGTTACTTGCTTGTTGTTCTCTACTGTCCAATTATAGGTCGATCACTACCACACTTTGATAAAACCTCCTACGCCATATAGGGCCCAATTTTGAAAAAGTGAGTGCGAATAAGCAGATGGTACCGCGCAGACTAACTTCCAAAGAAGGAGCGAAGCATCCACGACTCTGTCAACAGATTAACAAAAGTTAAATTTGCAATTGCCTTATTCAATGAACTCAGTGTCTTTGGATTTGGCAATAAGTAAACTTTTAATAGCAAACTCGGTAAATTCAATTCCGAGTCATATAAATATTGTAATATAAAAATAATAGTGATAGTTCCCCTCTATGCTATGCTGGACCGTTCAGCTAGTTCTGATCGGCGGAAGGCTGAGAATGTGTGAAGAATAGTGAGATCTTGGATCATTTGAGACTCGATATCTTCCATTGCATCCAGTCTTCCAACTTAAATAACATTGTGCAGCTGGGTGAAAAAATAATCAGATATTTTAACAAATTACTTGAGATGCAGAATAGGGCTAATCTTTTATGTATGTATATAAAAATGAACCGCAAAATGTGTTTTTAAGCGCATAACTCAAGAACGCCTGGACCAATTTGGCCAATTATTTTTTCTAAATGTTCGCTGAGGCTCAAAGATGGTTTTTACGATGAGAAAAATTCGAATAATAATTGCTGAGAAAATCTTGATGTAATTTTCAGAGGCTGTTCGCTGTGGATCGGGGAAAGTTTAAAAATAAAAAAACCCGAATGCTCCTCCTAAGGAATAGTCAGAAAATTGGACAACTCCAAAAAGTAACTTTTTTCATACACATTGTTTTTAAATTTCTTCGTTTTGGTTTTTAATTAAACACAACTGGAAATGATAAATATGCACTCTATCGGCGTCGCCCACCAGAAGACAATGGCAGAACACAGCACTCAATTTAGAAGAATGAATATCGAAGTTGACAACAAATGGATCGTGCTATATTCACCATTATTGTCTATTTCACATTCAAACATCATATAAGTGATTAGTATTGCAGTTTGGTGAAATCGATAAAATACGTTTGTAACTACGTCACCAAAGAAAGCACCATTGCGGTTATTGTTCTTGAACGTTGCGGTCGATATGTGAACTGCAATAAAGCGCTTTGCAGAATATTTACTTTTGCAATTCATGATCATTTTCCGACTGTTGTGCGTCCCAAAGACTGTATATTATCCCAGAGAATACAGTACAGCCAGTGGAATCACCGCAGGCAACAAAATTAACATTGACGAGTTTTTTCTTAACTTTCGTCAGTAATCCGTTTGCGAGAATATTGTACTATTCGGAACTGCCTTGATAGTATACATGGAATACATCATCCAAGAAATAGTTATGCAGAAAGGAAGGCCAACCAGTAGATGGACATCCAGGTGTGTTATCAACTATTGCATTAGAACGAATTTACACAATCTACAGAAAAAACAACGATCGCTTCTACATACCTTCGATTGCTATTGCCTAATGTACGTGATTCAACTTCATTTGAGTCATTGCGAATGATACGGTGTGTGCAAGGAGAAGCAAGCCAGCACTTACAATTGCTGGAATATGATAGTCACTGGAATCAAATGGGATACCAACAAAAATGACATTGCCGAAGACATATTATATATATTTATTTTATATCTGGGATTTAACAATTCACGAAAGATGAACTCATCTCGAATGTTTGGACTTTGGAAAAATTATCGTAACTACGAATCCTTAAGTGCACACGCAATGATAGCTGCCAAAAATACCGATGTTGTTGACTTAAACTAGAAGATTTAAAATCAAATTCCAATAAACTTGCGCTCATACAAATCGATCGATCATCTTGACAATGAAGGCGACGCTGAGAATTATCCAGTGGAATTTCTAAATTCTTTAGATAGGTTTGGTACGCCACCGCATCGTTTGCATCGTTATTATTCTTCGCCATCTTCATGCGTCGAAACTGTGTAATGGAACCCGACTGATTGCGACACAGCTATCGAATACAAGGGGGTCGAATGCTTGATTATACGAATYCCTTTGAGTTCTAACGATTTACCATTTCAGTTCCAACGTATTCCGTTTCCAGTGAAAATTGAATTTGCAATTGTGTGGCATAAATTTTCACACGGCCAGATATACGCGGCGTGGTCACGAGTTGGAAAATAATTTTTCTTGTACACCAGAACAGAAACCAAAAAATGTTGTTTATCAAGATGCTTTACATTAAAAAAAAAGAAATTAAATGATAAATTCAACTTTGTTTTCATTTCAAAACACATAATTTCATGCAGGACAACGGCTGCGGGGTCAGCTAGTAAATTATAGATATATGTTTAATTACGTTAACAAAAATTTGTGTTCTCTTTTGACTGCGTTACCTTTGACATATATGGATAAAATTTATACTGTCAAAAAGGAAACGTGTACCTTCTTCCATGAATTTTCGGACAAATGTTTTTAAATAACACTTATCGTYTATGTTCATATAAAGTTGAAAACGATTACATATTATATCACTCAGATATTACATTAGAGATCGTGTGTTCATAGTTTCCTACTGCAATCTACATTCAACCTTCTCATATATAAATACTATATATAAAACTGAACAACTAAAGAGCAAGATATTTTGAGTTTTTTAGGTTAGTCACACAAATAATCGACAGAGCTAGAACACAAAAAGTAGATAATGAGTATTTTACGAAAAATTTATGAATTATAATTTTTAAGTTATTTAATTATAATTTTTAAGTTATTTAAAAATTATAGAAGTTTTAAATTCGATTAAATAAAAAGGATTGGTCGGCACCATGGATTCGGCTAGGGTATTATCATAACATCTCAATCGATTTTTGTGCAAAATTTTCACAATATATGTATGTATATCACATTTTAGTACTCACATTCTCTTGCTTTTCATATTGGGAAAAGTGTTCTTCAAACAGAAGATCGGCTAAACTTGGTATAAGTAAGACACCAACTCTGTTGTGCATTGACCACTGGTGTACTCGGCGTGGTTGAGACGGTACCATCATACGGTGTGCAACTAATGTCATTTTCAAACGTTTATATAATTTTGTCTTTTGTACTTCTTATTTTAAATTATATTTCCAAAATTATGTAAAATTTATAAACAGCAAAATATCAGCTTCTTTAATAGTATAATGTGTGCATCATTACTGCACCAAGAATTTCACTATACTAATGAATGCTGCATGAGGTAAAGTAAGTAGAGTAATATATACATTAATAGCCAGACTTATACTTTCTGATGATTTGTCCACATTGTTTACATTATAAAATATCTGGGACAATTGTTTTCCAGTCATTTGATAAATTTAGTACACTTAGTTACAAAGGTTTTTATTATTAACTTGGCTACTCTTAAATCAACGTACGCTTATAACCAATTTAATTTCGACGGTGAACAGAATTTTTTCATTTGTTTGGTGTATGGTATGTACCCACATAAATGTATATTAGAACATATGTTCATATGTACGTATAATACTATTACATTTATTGTGTTTATTCACAGACATTGAGTTATTTATTAATTTATAAGTGTTATTACTGCTAGAAAGTAATGACATACATATTTCTGTAATACTACTATATATAACTACACTACCACCACTATTGCACATAGTAGGGTGTTCGGCTTTTATTTTAACCATTAAAATTTATTTGTATGTATTAAGTTAATGTAAGTAGCTCTATAAGTGTCTGGAAGTATAAATTATAAGTATACATTTACAAAATACTAGATATCCATGTAATACAAACCTCATATTTTTATGTTGTATGGAACAGTAAGTCATTTTTATTTTTATGTAACATGAGTTTTTAACTATGTTGTTTTTTTTATCTTTTGTCTAAAGATTAGATTGAAAATAATAAAGTCGTGCGAGAAGTAATTTTATAAAGCAAAGCTCACGTACTTATTTTTGAACTAAATCCCTAAATGTGCACCCATTATCTGCTTAAAAATTAATTATTCTTGATAAGTATGCATACACATCATATTATTAAATCACAAAAGAACTTTGCGGTGCAAATTTGGAAACAAATAAACCAATAAATTAAAATAATCAAATTTAGTTTACATAACCGTTTTGAGTTACCGCGAATAACTTGAATTGTTGCAAAATTAATATAAATGCTCCGTTGTTAACAAGTTCTTGAATATCTCATTGGACACATTTACACATCATTTAATTGAAGGAATAAAAAGTTCTGCATTCGCGACTTGCAGAAGCTTTACCTCATTTAAAGAGTTAGAAACGAAATAATATTATATCATATCTTTCACTAGAGTAAAAACTTTTTAAAAAGATTCGAGCGAGTTATGGTTTTGGAATAAAAAAAAAACTTCTGCCTTTTTTGCACAACCGCATTTATTAAACTGAATCTTAAGACTGACCTACTTGACATTCCTTGTTAGCTTTCTTACTCCTAAGCATAGGGCTAGCTGTACTAGCATTATTTGTTAGTGCGCTTAATTCTAATATTAAGATTAACTGTATGGACATTCTTTGAATGTACGTTTATAGTTGAGATGGCGTTCACATAACAGGAATACGCTCACTCTCAACTCAACTTAGCTGAATTTGGAAAATATATAAATATATGTTATTACGATATTATTATGCTAGTGCGATATTAAGAATTTACTATATGCATATAAGTATATAATTACTACATGCGGTCACACAGCAGCAAGCAGCGATAGTCAGTGGTAAGTGCAGTAGTTAGTTTTTGTAGACATTGCGTTGAAAAGGTAACACACCAATCGGTGTGTTACCAGTGCACGCAATGGCTCTGCCTTATATACAGCGTAATTGGGTATTTTGTTAGGGTTCGCAGGCATTGCAATGAATATNACCAATCGGTGTGTTACCAGTGCACGCAATGGCTCTGCCTTATATACAGCGTAATTGGGTATTTTGTTAGGGTTCGCAGGCATTGCAATGAATATGTATTACACCAAATCGGTGTAATACCAGTGCTCACAATGACTCTGCCTTATAACTTAATCGATGTGTTAGTTTTCGCAGTTGCATTTCGCAGACGATATAACACCAACTCGGTGGGAGTCGACTGTAGTCTCAGTTGCGTTGCGATACAGCAATATCACAGCTGCACTGCAATGAGCAACGTCACTACCGCAGCTTGCACACCAGTGCACCGTTAATATATCAGTCACAGCTGCGCTGCCTCGAACAGAGTCACTACCGCAGAGAGTTGCTAACCGTAGGTCAACGCGTTCGGTTGACGTGTTAATATTTTTACAATTCTCCCTCGCAGGGGATCCATAGAATACTACACTGTACCGTACAGTCAACACCGTGTCTGGGAGTGACTACTCCTCACCAGAATATAGAAGGAGCACCACCTTACCGTAATTACCGTACCCACTTCGACAAGAACCAACGCCTGGCACACCAAATCCAATCGATTCCACCTGACTCGCCATATAAATATAAGCTGGTCTGGCTGTCCATATAAGGGGTGTGGATACATCTATTACAAAAAGTAAATATTCTTTGCTAAGGGTTCGTGGGTCCCACGGCTGACCTTRGAGCGGCTGAGCATACCTCAGCTATGGACGAAACCCCATTACACATGTTTAGATTATGGGAATGGATTCGAGATTCTCCTGAATTTCGTTACAAGAATATATAATTATTTTATTAAATTTTAATTAATTCAGTAGTATAAGATAAGTTCTTTTTTTTATAAATGTGTAATGTGCAAACATTTTTAATTTGGTGTTTTAAGTATGATTTTAATAGCTTAGGGTATCTATGTATGTATAGTGCTTAAACAAAAGAAACTTTGTTTTATATTAACATTAAATTATAATAGGTAATTACGACAGGTGTTTTATATTTTTGCAATTTTATTTTCAACAATGGTAAGTATATATTTATTAAAATTGAGACGATCGATGGGAATATAGGTTATATATATTCGCAATTAAAAAAAGTATATTTTGTTTTTTATTTTCTTTTTAAAAGTTATATATTGTACTTTAGGTTGAAGGGGACAGATTTTTGTTTTACAATGGGTTAATTGCTGTTAGAGTTTCTGTCTTCATTGTTGTCATTTGTAAATTTAAAAGCACGTTCAATATTTAGGGTATGTACGTTTTATAGATTTCTTTTAATAAATTTTGTTTCCTCTTTGTGTCTAACGCTTTTGTAATTTCGAATAAAGAGGGCTTTGTTCTAGGTAATTTTCCTTTCTTATATTATGTTTAGAAATGATCTTCAATTATGCTTCCTCTAACCCATTTTTAATTATGCTATGATCAACTTTGTTGTTTTGAACATCTTAAGGAGTAGCTTTTACTGTGGTATGAAATGAATTGTTATAAAGTTTTACGGCTTTACACGTTTGAATAGTAATTGGAATTTTTTTTTCTAAATTTAGGGTTCTGATACGTTCGGTAAGAGTATTATTTATTCTTTCTACATCTAAATTTTCTCTATGGTTATGTGGTTTAGTGACATGAAATTCTATATTTTTTTTCTTTAAAAATTCACGTATTGGTTTTGAATTAAATTCATTATCGAATTTATCATTTTTTTATTTGGCCTTTAATTGACAAAAATTCATTAATTTTATATATGATCGTTTGACTATTTCTATTGGGTAATTGGAAAGAAATTACATGTTTTGAAAATTTATCGATAAATATTATAAATGACTGTTTACTGTTAACATAAGTATCTACATATATGAACAATTTCATTATCTGTATTTGGTGTTTCGGTAATTTGAAATTTAGCTTTGATAGGATTTCTATCATATTTTCCACCATTACATATATCACAATTATTTATTATATCATGGATTTTTATTTTTAATTCTGGATGATATACTTTATGCTTCATTCCCTCGTAAGTTGGAATAATGCCTCAATGTCCTACTTCGATTTTATGGAAAAACGAGATTTGTCTCTTTAGTTCGTATTCATCTTCGACGTCTTTGGCAAAGTTTGTACAATTTACAAAAGAAATATTTTGATGGTTCGCGAAAATATTTAAAAGAATTTGTTCTACTTCATTATGTTCTTTTTCAATAAGTTCAAAATATATAGCGATCTTACCTTTTTCAAAATGTTTATTTACAATATTAATGACGTTGGGAGGGTTAATCCGCTATTTTATTTCTTTACCGGTTATATAATCGATTTCTGCATCGTACTCTTCTAATTGCACTAGCGAATCTTGGATTTATGTTCTTACTAAAAATTTTCTTATGTAGCCATTTAAGTGATTGATGATCTGTTTTTAGATCGAATTCTCTCCCATATAAGTAAGGTCTGTAGTATTTTACTGACCATACTATTGCTAATAGTTCCTTTTCGATGGTTGAGTAGTTTTTCTCGTGAGTATTTAATGTGCGTGAATCATATGAAATTGGGTGGTCGTCTTGTGTGAGAACTGCGCCGATAGCAAAGTTGCTAGCGTCTGTAGTTAATTTAAATCTTTTTGTAAAAATTGGATACCTTAAAATGCGGGATTTGTAATAATATTGGGTTCTTAACATTAATCTTTGCATCTTTTTTCAGATATGCGACCATAGGATAAGCTATTTTAGAATAGTATTTTATAAATTTCCTATAAAAGCCGGTAATGCCTAAGAAAGATTTCATTTGCTTTTGAGAAATTGGTAACTTTAATTTTTGGATAACTTCAACTTTATTTGGATTTGGTTTTATTCCTTTAGGAGTTAGTATATGACCTGAAAGTATGTTTCTTTCTTTAAAAAACTGCATTTTTCTAAACGTATTTTCAATTTAGCTTGTTTTAGTTTTGTAAAATTATTCCGCATATTATTCATATGTTCTGACAAAGAAGTACTAAAAATCAAAATGTCGTCTAAGTAGACAACGCATATCTTGTTTATAATTTCTCGAAGTACCGAGTTCATAAGACGTTGGAATGTTGATGGAGCATTTTTAAGATGGAATGGCATTCTTAAGAATTCGTAATGTCCTAACGGAGTAAAAAACACTGTTTTCTTTCTATTGTTTTCATCTACCATTATTTAATGAAATCCTTTCGCGAGATCGATAGAGGAAAAATATTGTGCTCTTCCTAGTTTATCCATGATACCATCGATATTAGGTATCGGGATTTATCGCTAATAGTAATTTTATTTTTTATTTCCGTCTGCATCCGCTTTTTTGGGGACTGTCCACAAAGGGCAGTTGTAAGCAAAGTTGCTTTCTCTAATTATATTATGATCTAACATTTATTTTATTTGTTTGGGTCTATCGTTTGTTGTAATAATTTGATGTTTTGTTTCATGCGTAAAAGAAAGTTTATCTCCTTCTTTGAAAAATAATTCGATAAATTCTATTATTTT